TCCAATTGGCCCAGGCGACTGCAGCGTGGAGAGCGAACGCCGGCCCGCCCCGCGCCAGGGGACATCTTCCAAAAGCCACCTCCAACCGCTCAGTCTTCCAGGCTCTCATTAATGAACGCAGACCCTTCTTCCTCCCCTCCCTTTAAAAACAGAAAGCCAGAGGACCAAAATAAAGAGACCAAGACTAAAATTAAACCACTGATAAGTTATTTTAAAAGACAGAGAATGTCCATTAAGGTCAGCTGGGACCATGGACACGAATGGGTGGCAATCCACCGGTGCGTCACTCGTCTGGCAGGGTTTCCCCCACGCGCTATTTTTTCCCCCTTAATTTTCTTCCCAGCGTTGCTGCATTGGAGAAACCAGGCTCCCGCCGCTCGCTTTTGTGCTAATTATATCCTCCTCCCCATAAACGACTGGTCCCAGCTTCAGCTTCAAATCCAGGGTATGGGTTGGGGGGTTTTTTAACGCAGGAGAAGCAGAGGTATTTGTCCCTGTGTTGGGGTGCTGCCTCCTGCATCGGGGTGCTGCATCCTGCACCAGAGCAATCCCCTGCCACGGACAAGGTCCTGGGGCAGGCAGCTCCTCGCAGAGAGGTGGCTGGGGGTTACAAACTCCCTCGGCAGCCCCTGGGGTTTTTTTTGCAGGGGATGTTTTTTGTTTTCAGTGAGGTTTTTTTGGTTGTTTTTTTAATGCACCCCAATAAAATGGCAGCACAGCCCGCCTGGGTGCTCCCACCAGCAGCACCGGCGCACAGAGAGCTCAAGGAGGCAGCGGGACAGCCAGCTGGTGACAAAAGGGTGACAAGGGGATGAGAGCCAGCACACACGCTGCCACCACCCACCCCACAGGACACAGTCCCACCGCAGGTCCCCCCCGAGCCCCCAACCCCACTGGGTCCTCAGCTTCCACCAGGATCTGGCAGCTTTCCCAGCCAGGGCAAGAACAGAGCTGCAGCATATCTTAATTCCTGCCGGCAAAGCCGGAGATGGGGATGGAGAGGAGGGGGCGTCCCTGCCCTGCTGCGTCCCAGAGCTGGGGGGGACAAGCAGGATCGCTCCTGGCAGCCGGAGGGTTGATGCACTATCACAGCTCATCGGCACAGCTGGGGTTATTTTTGAGCCCTGTCTATGTGTTGGCATTACAGCAAAAATCTGCTCCAAAACTCGTGACAGGGAAAATAATTTCCAAACCTCCCACAAAATGGGAGCCACAGAAACGGCCCCGGGGCATCCCCCGGTTGAGACTTCAAACCAAAGGATGGGATTCAGGCACACATCGATACCGTCCTTCACTTGTTAAATCCTTCCTCTGATCCTCAGTTTAAGGTCGGTTTGAATCAAGATGCCGGTCCAGGCGAGCTGTCACCCCCGCTTTGTCACCGCAAATAACAAGTCAGCCCTTCTGTGTCCCCCCTCAGCTCGGCTGCAGCAATATAATTTAATTTAGTTTTTCGGCTCTTCTCTAAAAGCCCAACCTAAGTGCTCTGTGGAGGAAGAGAAAAGACTCAAAAAGCGCTAAATAATATTTCAATCAAACAAATGAAAAAAGAAACAAGTTTCCAGCAACGTTCCCCACAGGAAAACCATCCATTTGTTAACACAAAAGTCGACGACGAGGTTTAAGTTGCAAAATCAGCCCAGAGGGGCTGTGCACAGAAAGCCTTGTACCCATCCCAGCAAAGTCCTCACGCAGGGTCTCCGGCCAAATTTTCCCCCTTGTGGGGTCAGCAGCCCTTCCTTGGGATTCAAATCAGGTCTTTGAGGATAACTCGGCGTCTCCAATAACCCTGGACGTGAATCTGAGAGCAATGAGCTCCCAAGGATTTTCTCCCCAGCTTTGGGCTGAAGCCCTGCTCGCCCGCAGGGAAGGAGCAGCTCTCCCCATCGCGCTGCCCATCTCGAGGGTCCTGCCTGCAGCTACCTGCATCCCTCCGGGAAAAACCCAAAACAGCCCAGCAAGAAGAGGAGGGAAGAACCCGTTCCCTCCCGCTTCCCTGTCTCGCCGAGTTTTTCCTCCTACAAAACCACCGAGAGATAAAAATAAAATTTAAAAAAAAAAAAATCAAAGAGCTATTAAAAGGCAGCAAAAGGCCTGCAGGATGGCAGCACGCCCAGCCAAGAGGTGCCGGGGGACCAGGTTTGAGCGCTGCAGCGTCTGCCTCCAGGAAATCGCTTTGGAAGATGAAGCCCGGCGGTGCCTCCTCACGCGCCGGTTTTTCTTCTCAACACGTCAGAGCCGGCACGGGAATAGGGTACCCGCTCCCCTCTTCTGCGCCGAGCCCCAGGACGAGCAACTCCCAGGGAAGCCCCAGCACCAAGGGCTGATCTGCCACCGCCACGGGGTCCTTGGACAGACCAGAGTAATTCCCCGGGGAGCCAAAAATCAAGCTTAATTTTTCAAGGTTTTTACAGATACACAGCAGGAGCTTGTCAGGAAGCGATGCCGGAGCTATCAGCTGAAGGAGCGACTCCTCAGAGGGGACGGAGGGACATGGAGCTCATCAGGGTGGGGGACAACGGCTCGGTCACTCCCCGACACGGCCGTGCCGGGGCATCGCGATGCGGCTGCGTGGGGAGCGCGACGGCAGCCCCGTGCATGGAGAGAGGGAAGAGCCAAGTAGGGAACAGAAACTCCGATTCACGGAGGGTTTTCTAGTGTCACTGAGTTTCGAAGGAAAACCTAGGAAAAAAGCCATTCGGAAATAAAACCCACCCACAAATAAGATGTTTTAGTATTTTTGAGTACAGCTGTGCAGAGCGGAGGGGCCCGGGTGCTCTGGTCCCCGGGACCGGGCTATGGAGGGGCAGGAGGGCACACACCCTCCACGGGGAGTTTTTGCCACAGCTTCTCCCAACCCCATCTCCTTTGAACTTCCAAATGCGAATTCAACCAGTGACAAAAAGAGGGGCCTGCACCTCTCTCAGGGAGACCCTGGAGCTCCGCAGAGCATCCTTGTCCTCGAAGGGGCACCCCGCATCTCTGCAGGGGTAAGGACAGGGACCCAACCTCGGCTCTGTCCCATGCTCCATCCTGGACCTGTCCCATCCAAATTCACACAGGGCTTAACCTAAACACCCTGTTTTATTTCGATGTTCATTAAGTAACCTCAACGTGTGTTTCACCCCAGGAGCTCAAGAAATCAGCCCGATTTCACTCCCCTGTCCCATCCCTGCCTGCTGGACCACCCCACCACCCGGTCCCCTGCTCCTCAAAGGCCTTTGGGATCCGGCCGAATCCTGCAAGCCCTGTGGGTGCCCAGCAATGCCAGGTGCTGCAGAGCAAGGCACACGCTGTCCCTCCTCTCCCCAGCTTCGAAACAGCGGGGCTTCTAGGAGATTAGATATTGCAGAGCCTGAAGGCAGATGTGGACCAGCCTGGCATGCAGAGACAAGGCTTGGGGGAGAGCAGGAGGAAAATAAACCCGAAGCATCCAGGGAGAGGTATTTTGGTGCAGACACAGCGACGGTGCATCCTAATGCCTGCCTTACCTGGCTCCCTGCAACTGCTCCTTTAAAAAACAACAATAAAGAGCTGAAAAAAAATCACGATTGCAACATGGGAGAGACCCATCCACGGGAGAGACCCGTCCCTTGTCTTTAGGTGAAAGAGGGCGACAAGTCAAGATGGGAAGAGAGGGGGGAAAAAACCAAACCAAACAAGAAAGGAAAAAGAAAGAGGGATGCAAAGGCAGAGGCGGGGGGCCAGCAGCCAGCATCCGCTCCAATAAATCCTGTGCTCCTTGAAACTAGCTGATCTCCAATAAAAACTCATTTTAATCTAAGACCAGGAGACTCCTTTAGAAAGTGCTCCCTGGAGAGGCCCCGGTGCTGTGAAATACTCTTCATCCACTGAGCTGCTGGGGGGAACCAAGAGGGGTGATAAGGCTGCAGGAGCCTCGTGCACGGCTCCCCAGGCATACCGGGGTGAAACTACACAAAAACGGGGTCCCTGTACCCACTGGGTGCCCCAAGACCACGAGCAAACAGTATCTCCCCGGTATTAGGGGAGCCCCCGGCTATGGGGACGAGCATCCCTTTGGGTGTCACCATCGATCAGCATCGGGGAGGGGTGCCCTTCCCGGGGACCGGACCCTGCGATGCTCCATGCTCACAGCTCAGCCTCATAGCATCCCACCTGGGACAGTTGCATCCACTTCCCCATCAACTCTGGAGTTTATTTCTTAAACTTTGCGTTCGTTTAAGCCCCCAACTCTTGCTAACCCATGGTTATTTCCTCAAGCAGAGAAAGCAGCCCCATTCCACCTTATCCCTTCAGCCCCCTGCAAGCCCACAGGCTTTAAACTCAGGCACTTTGCCGCAGGTTTTAAATTACAGATGAAAATCGAGCAGAAAACCCAACTAATTAGATGTTTAAAACCCTCCATCATGAGCCATCTCAATCCCCAGCTCTGCTTCCCTCCTCACTGCCCTGGGAAACCTCCCCCAGGACACAAACAAATTAGGATAGTTCAGTTTAAAGCAATTATTTGGAAAATCATCATGGGAGAGCAGGGATCTGTCAGCAGTCCTACAGCCAGGCTAAGGGTTGTTTTGCCCTCACCCAGTGCCCAGGACGAGCCAGCGGGGACGGGAAAGGAAGGAAAAGGCGATGGGAAGAGGAGAAGGTAAAGGAAGAGGAGGGTTAGCAGAGGGGAAAAGCCAAATTAAGCCCTGGCATGAACAAAGCATGAAATAAACAGCTGGAGGCAGATTGATGGAGCAGTAAAGAGTTTCCTGTAAAGCAACTAATGTTTTCATAAAAAAAGTCATTTTTACTATCGAGCTCTAAGCCAGTTCTCCTCTCTTTCTGCCCGTCTTCAGCATGGGACCTGACCTCCAGGCTGGGCAGGAGGAGCCGGAGCGCCGGGACCAGGCAGCAGCCAGCGGTCCCGAAAACGAGGAGCATCTCAAGCCCGGCGCATCTCACAGAGCAAATGGGTACAGGGACACCTCAAGGGGGTCACAGCGGGACACAGTCCGGAGCTGGGAGCAAGCAAAGCCCCCGAATGCCACCCAGGCACGGTGCCCACACCATCCTCGTGGGAGAGGGGATGCTCCCCACGGCTGCCGGCTGGCTCTGCTCCCCCAGCCTGGCCATCAGAGAGGAGCTAGACCCAGAAAATAACAAAAACCAGTTTAAAAGCAATGAGATTTTTTTAAAAAAAAAGAAAAAAGTCCATTTGCATTTTCTTCCTTTCAGTTCCCGAGACTTCGGAGATGCCTCCAACTCACAGCCACGAGCCCTTCCCCACACTTGCAAGAGCCAGAAACACATTTTTTCCCCTTTTCCACATCTCCCAGAGAGGGGAATTTCTCATGAGCCTGCAAAAGCAGCACAAGCCAACGCACCAGTGAGGAAAGAGCCGGCGGTGGCTGCAGATCCCAGGCAGGGTGAGCGGCTCCGAAGGTGCCTCTTCACGACGGGATTCGGGTGCATCCCGGCTGGCAGCAGCTGCCACGCTCGATACCAGATGGGGAATTTGGCAGCCCCGGAGATGCTGCCGGGAACCAGGGAAAGCCGCCCGAGCTGCTGCCATCCCGCTGCCACAGGCCGAGAGATTCCAGAGCGGAGGGAACGTCCCCCACGCAGCCCCTGGGCCAGCCTGGGGACCAGGGCTGGGGGTGCCTGGGCTGCGGGCAGCAAACGCAGCCATGGTAGAGGTCACGTGCAGAGGGAGTGGAGCTGGAAATCTTGGCTTTCCACCCCAAAAATACACGCCTGGACCGTTTGCAGGCTCCCCCAGCTGCCTTCCCCAGGGTGGGTTGGGGGCGTGGGGTGTTACACCCCACCAAGGCAGCGACACGGGGCTCAGAGGTACCCAGAGCCATCCGATGTCCCTGTCCCTGCTGTGCTGTTAAAAACCCTCCTCCCCCCAGCAGCGGCAGGGGCCCCTGTCCCCAGGCGACGCCCTCCCCAGGGCCACGCAGCATCCTGCCCCACCACGCTGAGGACCGACACAGCTCGTCACACCTTGCCGGCGGGCACGGCACCACCCTGCCCACACAACCGAGGACAAGTCAAGTCCCAATTGATCCCCACCCCAGGCAACAGCCTGAAACGCTGTGGGAATTAAACCAGGAGAAGCCGTGTGGTTTGGCTCTGGGGTACAGGATCGCGGGGTGGGTTTGGAGCAGAGGTCCCTGGGGACGCGGGGGGATGAACGTAGCTCCACTGGGAGCCGGGACTCACCGTGAGGCAGGTCGGCCGTCAGGTGTGGCATCATATAGCTGCGGACGAGCTCCCACCCGAAGTCATCATCCTCACCCTGGCTGTACTCGCACTGGTTCGGGTCGCCGTCCTCCTCGAAGGTGCAGCCAGCTGCGGAGAGAGAGACCCATCAGTCCTCACTGAGACCCCGCAGAGCGACTGGTCCCTCCCCAAAAGCCCTGCCAGCACGGTGTGCTGCCCCTCCCGAAATGCAGAGCGACCCCAGGCATCCCCCCACGTGCACCCGTGAGCAAGGGTACGGTCCTGTCTGCTGCTAATCTCCCATCTCTCCCATTCGGTTCCCCCACCAGTGAAACGAGCTGGCAGGTCTCAGCTCCCAGGGAGGTCTCAGCCGCGGAGGCAGGATGCAGCTCCCAGCTCTGCTTCCCGGGCGCCGGTCACCGAACAGGGGGGTTTCTCCCAAGAAACAGGCACTCGACTGCAGCGGTCGCACAAGGATTCACAAGACCCCGGGGGCTCCTGCAAAAAGTCCTGCTTTGACCTCAGCCCTCCGCCTGCCCACGTGTGTTTTGACCTTGAGCTCTTGGGGGTCTGTCCGTTGCCTGACACGACAGCGGCAGGTCTCAGCCGGGTCCTCCAACAACCCACAGCAATCACACCCCTACAAACGCGTCACTGAACCCCCCGCTCCAGCTGCGGGCTGGCACTTCTGAGCCCTTTTATTTATCTTTCGGGGGTTTGGGGTTGTTTTTTTTTTATCCTTTGCAAAGAGCAAAGGCGAAAGCCAGGCACCACCTCCCCGGCCTGCAAGGTGCTCGGCTGAGCACGGAGAATCGGAATAAATGCCAAGAGGCCACTTGTCCCCACGCGCACTGAGGTGACACGGTGACAGCACACCGAGACACCGGCCAGCCCCCCAGCCCGCATCCAGCCCAACCCTGAGCTCTGGGGCTGGCTTCGCCCATGGGGCCGCTCCGGGCCAGTTCGTTAACACTGACCTATTGTTCCGTTAAACCCACAGATTACAGGCGGACCAGGGCGCCAGCGCTAATTAATATGAGCCCCTGGGCTGACGAGGGCAGGCACATTAAGAAAGCCCTGAGCAAGCAGAACGAACAAAGGCAAATACCCCCTAATGGGCCAGCGTGAAAGCAGAGCGGGGCCAGGGGATTATTTCTTCTGGGTTTTTTTCATATTTTATCCCCAAATTACATCAGTAATTCCCTCCGTCACCCGGGGATTTGCCAGTTAATGGTCTCGCTGCTGCCGGCATGGGTTGTGCTTCCCTGTGCGGGGGCACGCTCAGACGCGTCGCTTGTGCAAACACGAGTCCAAACACTGGAAAAAACCCTGTAACATGCCCAGAAAATTAAGATTCCCAATTCTTTCACATCTAAAAACATATTTGGGGCTTTTTCCCCTCTTTACACTCATTTTTTAAAGCACGAGCGCGCACTCCAGCTTCATCACCAAGTTGTTTTTTTTTTTCTCTCAGAACCAAAAGAAACTTCTTTTCAAAAAACTAAAAGCAAATTCTCTCCTATTCATATGCCTGGAGGCACCGAGACCTCACAGCTTTCTTAAAATCCTTCCCAAAATGGAGAGTCTGCCCAGCCCACGTGCGGATGTGCCCCCGCACCACAGACCCCGGTCCTCGGCTCTTTCGGCTCTCGCCACAAGACACGCTGGATTTTAAAGAGTCTGAAACTTGGCTGCGCTTTCTAATGGGAGAAAAAGCACAAATCTGTCAAAATTTTCCAGGAAGGAAAGAAAAAAAAATTTTTCCAAAATAAAACAGTGTCAGAAACTAAGTGCCAAGTGATTTAAAAAAAAAAAAAAAAGCCCAAGTGTTTCTCTCAAGATCTGCTGCAATGGGATATTCTGGGAGGGAGAAATTTGTTCTTAGTGTTTGGTTTTTTTTTTTTGTCTGAGAAACCAGAGCAGAGACAAACAGCGTTTCAGGCTGGCAGAGCCCCATTTCCCAGGGAAAAGCGATTCTTTCACCCCCTATAAACTATTCCCAGCATCTAACAACATCGGGGGAGACGTAACCTCCTCCTCCTGGGCTGCATCTCCACCACCCGCACCCCGCCGCCATCCCCAGCACAGCCACTGGCACCAACTGGTCCCGTGCCTCAGTTTCCCCACTGCTCCATCACCCCAAGGCTGGATCCTCGGCCACCTGCTAGATGATGCCCAGGCTCCAGAAGCTTAAAATGCAATTACGAGGAGTAGATATTTTGCTGGCGGAGGCACAGCTGGCCGAGCCGATCCGTCTCCCTCCTCGGACAGGTTTATTGTTATGGCTTTTCCCAGCGCGCGCCTTCCCTCCCATCCGCCCCCCCCATCCAGGACGCGAAATGAAGGCGGCTCGACCGGCCGCTCCACCTCACCAACAAATTTGTCTATGATTTGTATACACAGGGAAAAAATAAAAAGGGTTTTGCAGAGCCTTGGTTTCCATGAGCTATGGGATGCTTTTGGCACCACCTCTCCCCATCCAAGGGCAGGGCTGGGGAGAGGCTCGACCTCCAGCCCCTACTCCCTCCCCACCACAAGATTAATAGGGGCATAAAAATTAACATCTGAGCAATTAAATGCCAACGTCCCAGCTCCAGAGGGGGTGGCTGTGGGTCCCCCAACAGCCGTGGCAAGTCAAAGGGGGTAAACCCAGAGTGGCTTTCAGAAAATTAAGGTTTCACCAACATGTTTGCAAGGAGGACAGGGAGGCTGCAACCCAAAAATACCCGTCTGCAGCAACGGGGATGGTTATACCCATCCTAAGGGCTAACGGCAGCGGGACGTGGTCTGTGGGAGCTGGCCGGGACCGCTCCGGGTCCACATGCTCCCTGAAAATCACCAGGTGGAAACAAGGAGCCCCCAATTACCCAGCTCCTGCGCTGGCTCGAGGCCAGGGTAACAGCAGCTCCGGGCGGTGGGATGAAGGCAGTGAGTGTGGGAGGTGCGACTCGAACACGAGAGCGGCTAAAAATACTACCAAGGGCATGATGCTCTGCTCCCCGGGGACGCGATGCATCCAAGAGGATGCCTGAACACCCCAAAGTCACCTAAACCTCTCCAAACCCAGAGCCTGTGCCAAGGACGAGACGCACCCCGTTAAACACCCTGCGGGGCAGCCCAGCATGAAGCCCCCGCAGCACCGTGGCATGTCCAAGCAGAGAGGAGAATAGGGACAAATGCTAACATGGGGGTTAAACACCAGATGAACCAAAATTTAAAAAAAAAAAAAGAAAGAAAAAAGAGGTGGCTTGAGGGATTCACCGGGGAGACAGGTACCGGTGCCTCTCAGCATCCCCTGGGTACCGCTGCTACCCAGCATCCCGCTCCCTGGGGATGGGGAGGAGGAAAGCCGGGGAGGGGGAGAGGAGGAATGAAGGATTTGCAAAGAAGAAAGAGGAAAAGAAAGACCAAACAAACAACCAAGTACAATGGATGGCGTCTAATTAAATCTCCGTTGCCATGAAGGAACGTGGCCGCCTGCCCACCAGCCTGCCCAGCACTCTTTCATCCGCCGAGTCTATGCTCCTCTCACTTCAAAGTTAATTGCACGCTTAAACCTTTTCTGTTTAACCTCCTGCACCATGGGACATGCTCCACCAGCTTCTCTTTTCTTTTATCGAGCAGCCTTGAAAAGGCTCCCACGCTAAAGGGCAGCCTGGCACCATCTGTGGTGGGATCATGACGGGATCGCATGCTCCCGTACCCCGAGGGGGGTAACGACACCGCCCAGACCCCTCGGGGCATCATCGGATGGGGATGCTACACGAATAACATACCTAAAAGTGGAAAGGCTTTATAAAAAAAGGGTTTATACCCAAACTTTAGCAAGCGTGGCTCCCCAGAACGATGAAATTCAGGGTGGGAGCCCAGGACTCCCGGTCCAGGACGAAGCAGAGCCAACCAACAGGAAAAAGCCCGTTTTGCTCCCATCTTGGCTTAGCCAGGACTGGATTAGCCCCACGGTCATCTCTGGGGTGCAACATCTTAGGGGCACAAGCCCCCAGCACCCCATGCCTCACCGCGCAGGCACCAGCCGGGAAAGCTAACACCGGTGACCTTTTGGAGTCAGGATTAATTTTTCACCCCCGGCCTTTTCCAGCAGCTCCTTCCCCCCATCCCGGGTAATTATCGGCAGGAAATCAGGACTCGGGTACCCGCAGGACACACCACGCATCGCCCCGGCTGCCGAGCGGTCGCATGCAAACACCCCGCGCAGCAAAACAGGGCTATAACCCATCACCACCCTAAACACAGCGAGATGCAGCGGGGGTGAGCATCTCCCGAATCAGCATCTCCCAAATCAGCAGTTTTCACTGATTCCCAGGAGCAGGGACAGAGCTGGAGGCTACACGAAGTCACACAGCCCCGGACCGTCACCCAAGACCTCCCTTAAGCACACATGAGAAAAATGCGCTTTTACTGCACCAAAGGATCAAGTTCTTTACACAGGATAAATGGTTAATGCCACTGCTGCCAATGGGGAAACTGAGGCACACAGGTGATTTGGCAAAAGTCCCGTAACACCAGCAGCAACTGGCATCATCCCCCGGGGACGGCAGAAAGCCCGGGGAGCCGGGGTTTGCTGGGATGCACAACCCCGCTCCAGCGGATGCCGGCGAGATGCCATCCCTTCCCCGGCGCCCCCGCGGAGCCGAGCCGGCCTCCCACCGCCCAGATCCCGGCTGCTATTTAAAGGCGATTTCCTTGGCACGCTCCTACGGGAATGTGCCCCGGGAAGGAAACGCCGGGAGCCGCTTTCCTCCGGGCGCCAGCAGACACGGGGGATAGGGAACACATATTGCAATTCATCTAAAATTAGATACGCTTCTTATCCAGCAAGATCTCATACGTACCATACCGCAGGCTCCCGGACGAGGTTATTAATGGATAAGGGATCGGAACCGCCATTTCTATCTGCGGGGGGCTCAGACTCCTGGGGGGATGATGCTATACAGGGGTCCGGGACTCGCTCAGGGGGGATGCGGCACCGAGGAATCCAGCTCAGCAAGAAAACCAAGATGCAGAGCAGGTCCTGTGCCGCAGCATCCCGGCATCTCACACCGATGGAGACCCCCACCGCACAGAGCACCCCATCAACTCCACGGCCAAC